CACTGTCTTCAGTTAGATTACTTCAAGCATGAGCAGCAATTCCCTAAACAAGTATCCAACCTGGAAACTGCCAATACACATCTTGTGATGGAGGAGATCAAGGCACTCTCCCGTCTACCCAACCTGCTTCCTACCATAACAGAAGCAACAAGCTCAGATCAAAACACACCCTAACCACAGGGGGTAGGAGCTCAGTGTTGATGGTCCACACCTGTGCTCAGCCTACAAGCAGCAGAATCACCAGGTTTAAAATTGCCAGTCCAATTTGGTCTTCCCAGTGTGACCCTGTCTCTGAAACAAAGCAAGCAAACAAAACAGTTCCTTAGCAAGCCAGCAGCACACAACCCCAACAGGAACAACAAAAGAGGAAGGAAAGACTAGGAAAAGACACTGGCCAGTACAGATTTGCATACAAATGTATATATATGTATATATATAATTATATATAACTATATATGCTTGTGAATATATATGTATGTATATATGTTTGCACATATACATAGGTTAAAATACACACATACACACATAAATACATATTTATTTTTTCATTTCTATATTTATTAATCTTGACCAGGCAAATGGCCACTGCCTTTAGCTGGATTGGTGCAGGCGGGATCAGCGATTCCCTCAGCAAGTGTCCAATCCTAGAAGTGCCAACACACATCAGGTGATGAAGGACACTGAGGTCAAATTGGCAACAATAGCCTTGGAGTTTGTGGAGCAACTAAAAAAGTATGTCTAGGGATATCGGTTATCTTTAAAGGTGGAAAATAATACAGGGCCAGATAGAGAGGATACTGTAAACAGGATGGAGACAAAGGGAGTGTTAGTGGAAGTTGCCAGTTCCTCTGGTCCCCCAGGTCAGAGGAATAGTGGGGGATCTCTTTATGCAGGAGTTCCAGACAAGAAAGGCAGAGCCGACACTTGGCCTTGGGAGTTGTAGGGAGGGGACTTGTGGAAGGTCAGGCAAGGTGCATCATGGGAGACCCCCTGCTAGGATGTAAGGGTGTGACAGGCGTGAGACAGGGAGGGACTTACAGGAGGAATTGTGGGAAGAGGTGGGGCAGAAAGAGTTTATATAAGCCAGGCAGCTGGTGGGCAGGGTCACTCTGGACTCGGCTGCAGAGAGGACCAGGAGGAAGCCTACGTGCCTCACAGCGATCGACCAGAATAGAGTGCCCAGAGCACGGTGAGTGACCCACGGCATTCAGAAAGCCAGGTGAGTGGCCTGGGCATCTCTGTAGACATAGACGGGGTTGGCAGAAGGATGGAGGCAGCCCAGTGGGAGTGCAGAGCGGTGAGGCAGATTCAGGAGCGCCTGGCCTCCAGCACAGATGCCGACGAGCTATACAAATCCTTGAGGCTGCTCTCAGTCATGTCCATCACGGCAGAAATCCTTGCCACCACGGGTGTCAGAGAGACAGTGAAGGGTTTTAGGAAGTACCAGCAGGTGGGCAGTTTGGCCAAGGAGCTGGCCAAGCGCTGGAAGACCTTGCCTGTGCTGAGGCGCAAATCAGAGGCTCTGAGCCAGGTTCCTGAACAGGATGGCGGTCAAGAGCCCAGGAAGGATGATCTGCGAGAGGGGGAGTGGAAGCGGAGGAGGAAACTGGAGCCGGAGGACATGTTGAAGTCCTCAAATGTGGATGCGTTCTCTCAGAGTAGGGCGAGTGACCCGCAGGACCCAGGAACCCAGGTGAGTGGGCCCAGCATCTCTGTAGACATGGTGGGGGGTGACATCGGGATGCAGAATGCCGAGTCTGTGTGCGGAGTTGTGCGGCAGCTCCAGGAACACCTAGCCTCCAGTACAGACACGGCCGAGCTTCTTAATTCCTTGAGGCTGCTCTCAGTCATTCCCATCACGGCAGAAATCCTTGCCACCACGGGTGTCAGAAGGGTAGTGAAGCGTTTTAGGAAGCACCCACAAGTGGCTGGTTTGGCCAAGGAATTGGACAAACACTGGAAGACCTTGGCTGTTCTGAGCCACAAATCAGAGGCTCTGAGCCAGGTCCCTGACCAGGATGGAGGTCTAGAGCCCAGGAAGTATGATCTTGGGCAGGGGGAGGGTCAGAGGGATGTTGAGGATGGTGAGAGGGAGCAGGAGGACCTGTTGAAGGCGTCAAATGTGGATCTGTCCTCTCAGAGCAGGGCGAGTGAACCCCTGGATGGAGGAGTCCAGGAGTGTGGTTCCCGTGTCTCTGTAGACGTGGCCAGGGGTAGCAAGGGGACGCAGACCGCCGAGTGGGTGTGGGGAGCCGTGCGGCTGCTCCAAGAGGACCTGGCCTCCAGCACACATTCGGAGGAGCTCCGCAAATCCTTGAGTCTGCTCTCCGTCTTGCCCATAACGGCAGAAATCCTTGGCGCCACGGGTGTCAGAGAGATAGTGAGGGGTTTTAGGAAGCACCCGCTGGTGGGCAGTATGGCAAAGGAGTTGGACACACGCTGGGAGACCTTGGCTCTTCTGGGCTGCAACCTAGCGCTTCTTTCGGCGATTCTACAGCAGGTCTCTGAACAGGATGGCACTCAAGAGCCCAGGAAGGAGGCTCTTGGGCTGTCAGAGTCAGGGTGGGTGCAAGAGGACAAGTTGAAAGAGTCAAGTGTGGTTTGGGGCTCCAGGGGGAAAGAAACCGCAGCCAGGAGGGGAGGCCTCAACTCTGGGCCAGAGCCCCCACGGCCCGGGGAGCTGTGTGAGTTCCAGGGGCCTGGCAAGTGGTCTGCCAGCCCTTGTCCCAGGAGCAGGAGGGAGAAGCGTCCCCGAGTGGACCCAGAGTCCTCTGGGGGCAGCAGCAGGTCTCATCGTTGGGCTGTGGACAGCTCTGGAGTCTCGCGGGACCCTGGGCCCACTGGTATCCAGGACCTGCCTGGCAACGCGTGCCGTCCGGTCCCCCAGTCTCGGGACACACCAGGGCTCCCACAAGAAGGTCTCCCTTGGGAACCCCAGGGACAGGCTGGGGGCAGACCAAAAGATGGGTGCCGATCCTCTGAAGAGGGGAAGAGAGGTTCAGGCCCCCTGCCCTCTAAGGTCAAGCAGACCTCTGGCAAGCCAGAGACGCAGGCAACGAAGCTGCGCGGGCGCAATCACCAGAACAAACCCCAGCAACAGAATGAATTCCGCACACCTCCACAGTCTTTCGAGGATGCCCTCAACCAGACCCAGCTGCTGCCGAGGAGACAGAGGACCAAGGGCAGGATTCGTGCTGCTGCCTTGGCTCAAGGAGGCCTGAAAAGGAATGGCTCCAGCAGCCCAAGAAGACCTTCGGATTCCGTGCACAGCTCAGTCCCAAGGGCAAGCAAGGTCCAGGAAAACCAGGCTGCACAGCTGGCGCCAACCTCAGCCGCCAATCCAGCCAGTCCTGTCAATTCCACAGAAGCAGTCAGGGTGCCAATGGTGCAGCTCAGCACTGAAACTTCTAATTTCCCTGGGATGCAGGCCTATTCGGGTCAGCTGCCTGACCTAAAAAAGATGCCCTCCTTCTCTTCATCTAGGCCAGGAGCTTCTGTGCCCTGGGAAGTGGGAAAAGGGGAAGGGGAAGGGGAAGGAGGAGGTGTTGAGGAAGGGGTAAAGGGAGATGAAGGGAAGGGGGAAGGGGAGCAGAAGGCAAAGGGGGACAGCGAGAGGGAGAGGAAGAGATGGCCTTGCCTTTTGTCAGAAAGTCCCTGAAGATGCCACTATACTCTGGACCAAAGCGCGACTCCCTCGCTCCCTGGTACCCCCAGAATGTCCAGGGACTCCCGCAACACAGCAGTCCAGCCACTCCCAGCCCGCCCTGCATTCTCCTAGCACCCATTTCCCAGACTTCTACCCCTTCTGCGCACCAGCCTCAAGGGAACACTCACCCGAGGACAGTGGCGCACAGTGGTACAGACAGACTGTGGCAAATCCGCTGTTGCAAAGCATTCGAGGATGAAAAACCAGCAGAGGGTGAGTCCTGGCGAGAGCTGTACCTGCGGCTTCGCCAAGACCAAGAGCAGCGTGTGCAAGCAGCAAGGGCCTGCCCAAGCCAAGAAGAGCCAAGGCCAAGGGGCGCAAAGCTCTTAAACCAACCTCCAGAAAAGCCTCCTGGCCCTGGAAAAAGTTCCCGGGCCAGAACTGTGTTGGAAGTATGCTCAAGGGCCGTTCTCACTGCTTCTGAAAGACTTGGATAATGAGGAGAGTCAGCAGAGTCCTAAGAACAGAGTCTTTAATCCACTGGAGTCTGTTCTTATCAGAACATCGAGGAACACTTCATAAATGCATGAATGCAAAAGCTATATGTCTATTGTGTATATGTAGTAAATTAGGTATTAATTAATTGATTGGTAAACTAATATTTAATTGTATAACTTATCATTTTAAATTCTGAATCTGAGAAGCAAATCGAGGGAATAATGGACAGTCACTGGGCTGGCCTTTCCTCACTCTTAGCCTGGGCATGATGAAGCTTAGGACACAGTCTGTGCCCTTGAGCACAAGCAGTGACCTGTTCACTGCAGAGGACTCTGGTGACCTGCTGGGGACAGCACTGATCCTGCAGCCCTCTCTCATCTCCCACAACTGGACATGCTGTGTGCACATGTTCCCTTTAGCGCTGGAAGTCACAATATAGCTTAGGCTAATACTGAGCTGGTAAATCCCAGCACCACAGCCAAAGATGAGAATTATTTGAAAAGCACTAATTTCTAATATTAACTATCCAATTTGTAGTGTTCAAATACAGTGGACAAATGCTGGAGAAGAAAATGGAATCAGAATGAGTATTTATTAAACGATATGATGCATTATCATCCCATCAGCCAAAGGAGCCTTATGGCTGCCTGTGCAATTCCATGGCATTTGCTGCAATATCCTAAAGGGTATCAGAAATGCTTGGTTCAGAGAGCACAACAGTGACTTAGTATCCTGACTTCTCTAGCTTCTTGCTCTCACATTCACTCAGAAAAGCTGTTGTGCTGCTCCTAAAAAAGGCTACACCTGACAGTTCTGCTACAACAGGCAGGGTGGTTTTTGTTCAGGGCTGTATCAGTGTGGGAGGAACATGTGTATGTTGAAAGCCGTAATAAACGCCAACATCCTCAGCCTCCACCCTGCTGATTTTCAATGTGAAATCTGTGCCTGACCCACTGCCCCTGAATCTGTGTGGGACCCCAGAATATTGGTTGGAAAGCAAATAGATTAGGGCTTGTGGAGACTGGCCTGGCTTCTGTAGGAACCAGTACAAATAGGTGTCTCCATCACTATATAAGAGCCTCTGACTGGACCTACAGGAGATGGAGACTGCCTCTCCCAGGGTGACAGACAGAGAGAGTGGAGTCTGAGTCAATATAACATCTCCACTGGATCCTAAAATAATTAGGAAAGTGGACAGGGTTAGTTACCAGCATCATGAGCCATTTTCACAATTATCTTATTGCAGGCTATATTTTTTATTTTTGTTTCATCCAACAAAATGTTCATTAAATACATGATGAACACACACACACACACACACACACACACACACACACACACACACACACACATCCAGAATTTGTAAAACAGCATGGGTCTTTGTTCCTTCTGGAATCTTCCTCACTCTCAAAGATACATATCCACATTTCCATTCAAGAGGGCAAATATGCAGGAGTGGACATAACACACATGGGGAGCAGAGCTCAGCCCCTCCCCATCTCCTTCCTCAGCTCTAGTGTGTTCTTACCTGATACCCAGAGCAAGAGCAGCCCCAGGAGCTGAACAGGGCACCTCATTTTGAGAGTAAGCAGTGCTGGTCAGTCCAAGCAAACTTAGAGCTGAGCTTTTATGTTGGACTTGCAAGGGAGTTCCTCCCTAAGGAGCAATATGCAAATGTCCTGGTGGGTGCAATGGTGAGAGACAAACTGTCAGGTGAGATGGAAACAGACACTGGGAGGGAGGGGACTCTTCTGTGAGCAAATGACATTAACTGGGACCAAGTAAAGCAAGAGAAATCTAATGTGTGTTCCCTAGAAAGGGAATGCCTTCATGATACCTCCTGCTCTTGTCTGCTGCCTAATTCTTCAACCCTTTCTGGTATGCTTTACAGTTTTCTTGATAAGGATGCATTTCCATAAATATTGAGTCATTCTTATTTATTTTCTAGACATTTGTTTTAAAGTTTAGGTCTGGTCATTTTATTTTGCTTAGTATAAACTACATGTAATATTGAGAGCAAAAAATAAATGTGCAATGTTTAGCACAGATATACAATTCAGACAAACCATGGAATTCAGTATCAAGTTACTCAAAGGCCCTCTTCCAGTCCATAACAGGCAATCCCAACATGTGGCATTATAGTTTGTTTGTTTCTTAGACTTGACCATCACATAAGTGGAAGAGAGAACTTTTATGTGGTTTTAGTTTCTTGTTTCTGAAATCCTTTTGAGGTCTTTTCCCCGCATAGGTTCAGCGCCCTTCCTGTCAATTCCTTTGGTTCTGAAAGGCTTCTTTTTCTGCCAGAGTATGTCTGCACATATCAACTTCCCTTCATTTGCAGTTAGAAAAACAATGGGTGTTTTTTTGCCTTCAATTTTAAGGTATGGGGTCATAAATACAGTATTCTTTGTTGGGTCTTCTTTTCTATTGATTGTCACATATGCCATTCTACTATATTCTAACCTCAATTGTTAATGATAAAATTAATCCAGGATTTCATTGAATTTTCCTGTGCAAATAGGCATAATGTTCTTCAAGATTCTCTTTTCCTGTATAACAAGCTTTTTATCTGTGTTTACCTGATTGTGATTCAGTAGAACTCTTTAATGCAAAAATAAATCTCGTTTTAAGAGTTATTTTTCAAATATTTTTTGCTTATTTTTATCTTTTCCTTTATTGGTTTTTATACACAATCTTACCATAGTAATCACTAAATTAGCCTATAATTCTCTAAGGAATTATCTGTTCATTTTTCATTGATTTTTTTATTAAAAAAATATTGTTATATATTCATTGATTCTTCTGCCATAATCAAGTGATAACATATCTATTTAGTGCATTGTTCCATTGGGTTCTAGAATTCCCAAAACTGATTTTTACACCAATGTGAATTTTTGCCTTACTTCTCCTCTACCTGTCCTCTCCCTTCTCCTTATTCTTCCTAGACAGTTTGTATTACTGGACAAATTTGTATGTTTAAAAATTCAAACTTGCATTTGTTTCCCCTTTCTCTCTCGCTTGCCCAGGATGGGGAATACAAGTTTAACATACTTTCAACCCAAACAGACAGTCACCTCTCATCTCTCCAACCCAGGAAGTTATTAAATCTCTGTCGGAGAAACACAGAACTAAAGAAATGAGACAACAGTAAACCAAAAGATAAGAACCAATTGTGCTACCATTTAGTCTTGGGATGGACATCTTTCATGTAGCCTGGAGCAGACCCCTTGAGCAGCCTCTTAAAACTGGGACCTTTTCTCTGATTAGTAGAATAATAGAGCTTTGATTTCAAATCTTCACTATTCTTCTCATTTGACATGTGACAAATAATAAGCCTTATTTTCTTTTTCTTCAACATACTGCTGTCATTTTTTTGTGAATTAGCTTTGTGGATTCAGGGGACCAAACTTTGGAAACACAACAACATAGAAACTCTTTTGAGAGAAAGTAATAACTTAACAAAAAGATGAGTGACAGTGTAAACCATCAAAATCATTTTGATACATAAGCAAACATTCCAAACACATGAGCAATCCTTGGGAAAATGTTTCCATTCTTGTGGTCAAGTGGGAAGAAGCAACCTGAAAACTTCCTTCCTCCTTGTAAGAACATTGGAGGGATACAATATATATTAGAGGGATGTAATTCTTCAATCATCTTCTATGGATGTCATTCTTTTCTAGACATAAAATTCTTGAATGTTTTTATTTTGAATAATCTAGGACTATGGCTGAATGAGTTAGTGAGATGTAGTCTTCAGTTAGATGTTAGTGACTCTGAACTGGAACTCCACCACCATTTCTGTCATTCGAAGGCCTGGAAATCCTCTGTGCCAATGCTCCCTAGGTTGAACTTCATTGTCACTGGACTTGGGGCTCCAGAGATTCGGTTAGTCTTTATTGTGCTAGACTTTCTGTTTACTCTTTGTTTCTGAGGGATGATAAAAACAATCATCCTAAATTTTGAAAGCGGGAAGAAGGAGAAGGGAGAGATAAGAGAAGTTAATCACTTAAAAGTTAAAGGCCCAAAGAATGAAAGTTTGACAAAAGCTTTCTGAAAGTTAATTGAAATACTAAAACCTGAGTAGCCACCCACACATAAATTAGAAATCTTTAGTAACAATGAATTTATAGACTGCTAACCCCATTCAATCCCTAAACACCAAATACAGTGTTTACAAACAGCCACACTTGACCTCTGTATGTACAATCTAACTTGTCTCATTCCTAGCTAATATAGAATTATTGTAAGAACTTTTCGTGAAGGATGACAAAAATGCTCTTGATGTTTAGATCCAGAGGAAAATGGTCCTACTTCTCTTCAGTATTGTCACTGATGGATATAGCAACTTATTGGAGGACATTATTGTTTTCTTTTGTTATGTCACCATTTGATTTCACAGAGACTAAATTCCAAAAGCTTTAAAGCTTTAACAGGCAGTATCTCTTTTTCTGGCTAATGTCTTCCCTGGTCATTGTTGTGACGTATTGGGTAGAAAGAAATGATGGTCAAAGAGGAAAGCTTGTCTTCAAATTATCAGTTCCAGTTGGATGTCATCTTCTAAAATTGTTAATTTCCTGGGATCTGGGAAACACCTGCTTGATGGTCATAGAGGAAGGAGATGCCCTGTTATCTTCCCTAAACCACTGATTTCCTAAATCATGTACTTTCATGATTTTACTTCAATAAAAACAATACCCTTTCTTTTGTCATGAGATGAGCACTATGTATGAAGATGATAATAGTGCTTGACATACTATGTTGCTTCCTGGTTCCAAAAAAAGGAAAGAATACAAAATGTTTTAGGAATTCTTCAGTGTTCTTATGATGTACTATTTAATGACTCAGCTCTTGTTCCTCAAAAACATTTCTGGTCACAGAGATCTGGGGTCTTGTAGAGGAAAACTGTATGATTAGTGCTTCTTTAATTTATAATTTTAACTCATTACTTGAGAAATAAAGTCCAACCTTCAATATATCAAATTATGTTCACCTGGATATTCAAGAATTATATTTGTATATTATTTTTAATAAATTACCTACTGACCTTACTGTATGGCTAGCTAATCAATCATTCTTATTCACAAATATTCTGACTTTCACATTTTCCTTTTCCTCTTAAAGAATCATAATTTCACCTTCCTTTATTTTTCTCATCATCTATTCCTTTTGTATATGTGTAAGTTTGATATTCCACCCCCAGTGACAATTAACAAAATGAAGGAAGTCATGCTCAAAGAAAAATCTCAACTCTAATCCTTCTGTCACATTGCTGGGTATCACAGGTACTGGGTATCACACTCACTTGCTGTATACTTGTAGTTTAGGGTTTTTTTCCTGCTAATATTAGAATACCAAATCGTTTTTCTTCTACTTTATATGAAATATATTCCAAATAATTCTTCAATTTATTAACAATAAATACTTGTATCATTCCATAGCCGTTCACAGAAAGCATCCTTCTTTTACAGTGGAAAAAATCCACTGTGTGTGTGTCTACATATGTCTGTGTGTATGATCCGAGAGAAAGAGAGAAAAAGAGCGAGATAATTGTTTAGTCACATTTTATGTACATGCATTTTGTTTGTTGCCAATATTTTTCCTAGGGTCGAGAAGTTTATCTTCAAGGACATTTTTTGCAATATATGGGATGTATGTTAAATGATAAAATCATGCTGCTTTGTAGATGTTGTCGTATTTTTTTTATCATTTTTAGAATTGTCTCTTCAGATGTTCTCTCCATTATTATTTCCATTCTGTGCATTAACATTTGAAAAAGTTGCTGCCTCATAAATTGTAAACCAAGAGAGTCTGGAGGAAGATGTCAGAGGAGAACATGGGGGCTAAATAAGCTCTCAGGTAGAAACCAGTTTTACTGTTCCAGTGGTAAATCTAAGGCTAGAGTCACACCAAGTATGCCATCATAGTACAAGAGTTTGGCCAGAGAGGAAACCTTCAGGCAGCTTTGTTCCAGAGATAGATTCGAACACTCCAGGATCTGTGGTGGTGGCAGCAGCAGCTGTTACCGTGGCCACCATATCTACAGAAGGATTCCAAGACAACGACACGAGAGGCAGTGTAAAAGCAGATTCTACTCACCACCAGCAAAAACTGACAGAGTGAAAATCTTCATCCTGCTGACCATAGAGAGTCACATACCATAGATGGCCCAGAAACCAAGGGAAAGATGCTAGTACCCTCAAGATATCCTCACTCCTTCTCATAGAGCAGCAGTGGAATGGTAGCTCATCCCTCATCCCTGGAGAAGAACTCTATCTTTGATATTTTGAAAAATCAGGCAAGAGCAGCTAACATCTAACTCAGGCCTTAGAATGAGACAGTAGGAACCATTCAACATGTCATAGGAAACTGACCTGTGGGGCTCAGCTCCACCCCTTGGCAAAGTTGTCCTTCCCAAGCAGAGGGAGCTCCACCTGGGCAGGGCAGACTGTCCTCATTGGGTAAACAGACACAGAGGCTAACCTACCCATGCAGCATAGGCAGCAACTCCAGCTGCTGGAGGGTAAAAGTAAAACAATTGGAAACTTGTTTCACGTAAATCCTGAGAATAGCTCCAGGCTGGCCTGCTTGACTCTCTCAGGAGCTAGCCCATCCGAGAGCAAGCTACTGAT